TATACAAGTGAATATATATATATATATATATATATATATACTCATTTTCTTTCAATAATCGATTTAATAAATCAAATATTATTCATATTTATATTTATATTCAATTAAATTAATTATTTTTTATTAAAGATAAAATAAATTCAAAAATTACTTAAAAATATATATTTACTTGTGATCTCTATATTAAAAAAAAATCCCGAACTTTAAAAGGCAAGAAAGAAGGATTGTTATTGGATGATAGCACAATCTTTGAAATCCCTTTAGGGCCAATGAAATTTCGAACATATCCCCACGTGTCCTTCCAAAATGGCATGACATCTCCATAATAGTGCATCTCATCTTTGCCCCATCTCTCTTTCTCTCTCTAACGCTCACTCACTCTCACTCCACTATGCCCCAAGCCGTAGCCTTACACTCTTCCCTTTGCTCCATCTCTTCTGAGAAACCATCTCCTTTAAGATCAACCCTTCATGTGGCACCCAAACCCACAAGCCTCCTCCAAAATCACCCACTTTACACCCCAACCCATGCCAAACTCTCCCTTGAATTCAAAGAGAAAATTCTCTGCCTTGAGGTGATGGGTGTTGATGCAGGCAAAGCACTGTCCCAAAACCCTGAACTCCGCACAGCCACCATGGAATCCATTCACTCCATCATCTCCTTCCTCATGTCCAAAGGCCTTCAAGAAAAGGACCTGCCCAGAATCATTGGCATGTGCCCCAAGATTCTCACTTCTGACATCAAAACTGATCTCAACCCAGTTTTTGATTTCCTCTTGCAAGAACTCAAAGTCCCTGAACATAGCTTCAGGAGGGTTGTCAATAAGTGCCCAAGATTGCTTACTTCTAGTGTCAAAGACCAGCTTAGGCCAGCTTTCATTTACCTAAGGAGACTTGGGTTCAAGGATTTGGGGGCTTTGGCTTATCAGGATTCTGTTCTGTTGGTGTCTAATGTAGAAAACACCCTCATCCCTAAACTGAAGTTTTTGGAGACTATAGGACTTTCTAGGGATGAGGTTAGGAGTATGGTGTTGAGATGTCCAGCACTTCTCACTTTCAGCATAGAAAATAATTTTCAGCCAAAGTATGAGTATTTGGCTAGGGAAATGGGGAGAAAATTGGAGGAGCTGAAAGGGTTTCCTCAGTACTTTGCTTTTAGTTTGGAGAACAGGATAAAGCCTAGACACACGGAGATTGTGCAAAATGGGGTCACTTTACCTTTGTCACTTATGCTTAAAAGCACTGATGAAGAATTTAGGGAGCTGATAAAGCAGGGGGGTGGATGACTATAGTGGGAGCATTCTATTGTGTGTATTTATTTATTTATGTGAATGTATAGTTTCTCAATGGAGTTGTAGTATTTATAAATTGTTTATATGCTGTGTATTTTGGACTTCCTTTGTACAGACTTCTTATGCGAAATAACAGATAATGTTGGTAAGTTGCTATTTCAAATCTCTAGCTGCCCTTTTTATATATATTGATGTTACTGGGAAGCAAAGGTGAGATAAGTTTAAGTAATCTCATATTTGTCAATGGAACATGCACATTTTATCATCTACATGAGCACTAGTAGTTAGAGGATTTTGATCCTGTAGAGTTTCTAAGTAAACTGCATGAATCTCATTCATACATCATTATTTTACTTTATAATAAATGGAGAGAGATCAAATATCTTCGAAAGTAATTCTTGGTAAAGTTATTATACTCATTAACTCATTATATATATTGAATTTCAATGATCCAACAATAAAATTAAAAGTTCTTACTATGTAAGTCTACAAAATTTTTAAAAATTTTAAAAATCATATGATACTTCATTATATAAATACAAATATATGTATAAAATGATTTTATAATTATTCGTCAATTAAAATTAATAAAATGAAGTATCAAATATTTTTTAAAATTTTTAAAAAATTAAGAACTTTTAATTTAATATTCGATCATTAAAATTCAACATACAGTATAAATTATTGAGTAGAATAACTATATTAAAAATTATTGTTGAAGTCATTTGATCTCTTCTCTTAGTAAATTAATATTAAAAATTAAATTTTATTAAATTTAACAGCTGGATATACAATTACAACTGCACTCAGTACAGTTTTGAAAAAAAACTGTAGATGATTGGGATCAGCAGATAGAAAAGCAATTTATGCAAGAATTGAATTTTAATAAACTCTCATAGATGAGAGAGTTTGGCTGTTGGTTGCAAGCCCTGATTTGAAATATGGAGTTGATTTGATACTTCTAAGATCGATTTTCTTAATATCAAAATAATATTTAATCAATAAAAGTTATGTCTTGCAAATACAAATATAGATTATTATCAGTTTTTAAATATAGGATATTACATAAATCATGGCTATAGACCCAAAGCAACAAAGAAATATTACATGTAGGTGTAAGAATTGTCATATTCTCTTATCACTAGCTAGTAGGTGCAAGAATGCAAATTTAAATGTAGCTTGCAGTTGGAGCGAGGCATTGTTCACAGCAGTAACTGTTGCATGATTCGTGAAATGTTTCAATTTTACAATTTGACCATATGTAGACACGCCAAGAAATCTCTGGCGTAGGAAAAAAGGCTAAAGGAATCTGACAGTATGTAAGGATAAGCTTATCTAGCAGAGAAGGTTCAAAATGTAATGGGGCTGCAGTTGATGAGATCTGAATGGAATAGGGTTCCAAAAGAATAACAAAAGGCTGATTTCTAGGTTTCATGTCATCATATACAAATCAAGTACTGAAACCAACCAGATAACTTCTTGTTAACTACTTCCAAAATAATACCTACAAAAGCATCAAACAACTTATGATACAAACACAAAACAGTAGTTCCATCAGTCAACTGTTTGTACAAAGGACATCCTGTTTTCAAATTTCATGTACATCATGTGTATTTTCCGCGTGGAAATGATCGCCTGTCATTCCGAATGTCTATCTTGATGTTTGTCCACGAGCTTTAAACCAAAACTGAGTTTTCAGGAATTGGAGTCACATGCTGTTTAGAAGGAAACGTCTTCAGAAATGAATGCTGTCCATGCATCCTGTTCCAAAGTAGAAGATGTGTACTTAATCTGTGCGTTGATCCTTCGCCCATAACTTATCGCCTCCGAAATACATAATGGTGGAACTTAACAATATATGACATATTTTTGAATATTTCACATACCTGAAGAATGGAGAAAGCCTTCTCTGCTACATACTTCTGTAGGAGTGTTGCTCCTCTTTGCTGCAGTTTGTCAGGGTGGAGGCATAATCTTGCTTTCTGATAAGCCTTCTTCACTTGTGAACTTTCTAATAGGTTCGTAAGAGGAACAGCATACCAGCCACTCTCAGGCCATAAAATCTGTTAGCAAAAACATACAATCATGTCAATTTTCCTGTTATCTGCATACGTTGGAAGGGGTATAAAACTACAAAAGATTCAATAATTTGTCAATAATAGGAGCTCAGCAACAAAAGAAAATGTTACATGATGTAGTGTTGAAAGGAGTAGCCGGATGTCAGTTTCCTTGCCAGATGACCACAATCTAATATCTCTGTCCAACTTCTCTGTTTCTGTCTGTACCTTTTATAGAAACAACAGAACAACCAATATAAATCTTTATGATTCTCAGATAAAAGAAATGGAAATTTAAAAAAAAAATCCTAGTATGAGTCATGTATATTACGAAGTTGGAAGTCTCAGATGCTAGAAAATAAGACGTTATTTTTTACATAAAGTGGATTGCAGACTCATTCAACTTTTACTTATTACTAATCACATAGTTTTTTGGTTCTTTTTTCTTACATTTAGTTTATTATGGACTGTTTTAATCACATCCTGTCCATACATCATTCAACTTGAACTAATTTTTATCATTCCTTTTCTAGAGCAAATTTTTTTATCAACTTGTGAAATGATCTTGTCTAAATGGAAGTGGTGTCATCAAATAATTCACGTATTTTCTGGATTCTAATTCAAAATCACTATTGTAAATAGCTTATAAAGGTCTTATAGACAAATCTAAAAGTTGATTGTATCATAAATATGATGCACATGGTTATTTAGTTACTAACACAGTAATGCTTATCCAATGCAATAGAATACCTTCGAAGATATAACTTTTCGTATTCCATCACCGTGGCATTCGCCTGCATCAGACCTTCCTGCATTTTATTGTGCAAGATTGAATTAGTTTATTTCAGAGATAATTTTTTTCTAAACAAGGCAGTTACTCTCTTAAAAAGAAAGCTGAAGAAAACATGCACAAAATCTTATTCGTCTGGTTAAGACAATCACCTCCCACCCCAGTAGTTTGCTCACTGCCTTCATTTCTCAAGCTTGATTCTTCATCCGAATTTCGTGATTGAAACTTCTCCTTGGCCCATGCTATTGCTTCATCAATGTCTGCTGTTCCACAACTTTCCTCTCTAAAGTTAGAGTTGACCTCTATGACATAGGAGCTCATGACTTCGTCATCATCATCCTGTTCCATTACTAGCTCCGGAAGCATATGATCATGAACTGAAGATTTTGCCTCAGGTTCTTGACAAAGTCCAGAGACAGCTGAAAACGGGGAACTGAGTTCCCAGTCATCAGCGGATACCTTCATGCTCTGATAAGAATTGGATTCAAGACTTATTGTTTCTGGGGATGAGACTCTTCTTGAGAATCCTAAATGAGAACTCTTGAAGCTCTCCTTGTACTCATTATCCTGATACTGAATTTCAAATGACTGACTATTGCATGGAAAAAATGCCCCTCCTTGTTTAATTGGGTGTTCCCCAGGCATCATAGTGCATGAATTCCATCTGCATGGGACATTGATTGGCCTGTAACAATCACTACGAAGCCTCAGAATTACTATAGTTTGAGAAGGCATTAAATCAAATCTTCAATACAATTATCCTAAAACACCCCGCATATTGTTGTTGGAAGGGGAAAAAAAACTATAGACCTGTTTGAATAAATTTTTCCAAAATTATTTTTAAGAGAAAAAATACAAGTAAAAAAATGGAAAAGTTATTTCATAAACTAAAACTAGTTTATGGGTTTGTTTGGGTAAACATCTTCAAAAACAATTCAAATGAGAGAAAAATAAAAAGAAAAAATGAAATAAGTTTTTCCACAAGTTAAAATTTGCTTATGCAATAGCTAATTTGTAGAAGCTCTCTTCTAGTTGTATTACCTTCTCCAAAATCTTTCTTTTAATTTACACAAAACTAGTTTTAACCTGTGAAAAAAATTACCTTAATTTTCTTTTCTATTTTTTCACTTAACTGAAAATACTTCTATAAAAGTATATCTAAACAGACTTTATATACAAGTTAAAGATATTTTTATTGAGAAACTATATGAGAGAGCTTTTAAAATTAACCCGGAGAAACTTAATTCATTTTTTCTTCTTATTTTTCTCACCAACAAGTGTTTTCAGAGAAGTTTAACCACACAACTCAATCTAACCAAAGAAGAGAGCAAAACAACAAAGAAACCACCAAGGACAAACAGAACTTGCATGAAAGATTTAGTTACTTGCTAGTAATTCCTTGGCTGAAAGAGAACCTGATCCATTAATGTGAACAAGAACTCACTTAAAATGGTAAGTAAATAATCTCAATCACAAAATCAACCATGGACACATGCATAACGGCTGAAAAAAGTAATCTACCTCAGTAAAAACACAGTTCAAACAATTCAGTTTGTCTACAAACACATTCAACAACTAACACCACGAAAACCATATCTATATCACACTATCTCTCAAATTCACCTTAAAAACCAAAAAATACAAATAAAGAGACTCCATCCAACGCCAAGTCACAGCTGCAAATACATTAATCACGAAGGGCATAAACGTCAATTTCAACATAACAGACCGAATCTCAAAACAGTTAGTTGGTTGGGATTTCATTTCAGTACCTGAGCTTCGAAGCGAAGTTAGACAATGCCACGTCATCGCCGGTCATCGGCCGGAGAGGGCTCAGCTCCTCGGAGCTCAGCGCCGACGACGAATTCGACTTCGATTTCGCCTTCGACTGCGGCCCCGACCGCTCCCGCGACCGCCGCTCCTCGTCTGATCCGAATATGTCGCTGTAAAACGCCTCACTCTTCGCCGGAATCCGGAACACCGGCAAGCTCCGGCCGCCCTTCGCCGCCGCCGGAGACGCGAACTCCGGCGGCCGGAAAATCTCCTCGTAGAAGGAACTCGACCTCGAGAACTTGTGCGCCAGGAGGCTCCTCGGCGGTCCACCGAATACGTCGGCGAAGTCGTCGGGGTCGAGGGCCTCCGGCTCGGCGGCGGCGGCGAAGATGGAGCGGCGCGTGCGGTCCTCCATGGATCGGCGGCGAGGGAGGCCCGGCGACGGTCCCATTCGCATTCTCCACGACTCGTCCATTTTCCGGCGAGATTCTCCGGCGAGGCTTTCGTTCTCTCCAGTGACCGGAATATTCACTCACTAGAAGAAACAAAGTGTGGGTTGCGCTTATATATAGAGTTGGAGAGCATAAAACAAAAGATAATGTAAAAATAAAAAGAAGAACGGTTTTTGTGAAAAAAGCCATTCATTGACTTTTACTCTTTTTCCTTTCGGCTTTACTTATTTTCTAATAATCACTACTGTTACTTACCATTGATTGCGTCCATCTATTCTGGATTTTAAATTTTGCAACTTCCGTTTCTAGAGAATTATTATTAATAATTCTGGATTTAAAAATATTTGTTTATTATGAATTTTAATTATTATGTAAACAATTTGTCTTTTTTGCAAATTGCAATAAATAAAATATAGTATAGTCTTATAAAGTGGAACCAAATTATTAGTCAAATGTTAAATACAATTTCTGAACACCAGAGCCATATATTTATATGTAAATAGAAAAATTACAAGAGTTTTTTAATAGTATGATGAGGGTCTAAATGGAAATGGAATTTATATTTTTCCAGATTATTTTACTATAGTTGAATATTGATATCTTAGTTGTTAGTCTTGTCACTTGACAATTATATATTAATCAAATACTTGGGGCTTAAATTCAGATAAAAACAAAAGGGCGTAGTGGGTCAAATAGTAAGCAAATTAAGATGGTTGCTTAATATTTTGGCCTAGCCATTATTGTGGGTTGTTTGTTGAATGATCAATTTTCGCTTTGTATATATGAATGATTAGTGATGGGAAATGCATAGTGGAATAATGTGGCAATGGCTTTGATTACCTGGAAAGATGCATAGGCTGGAATGGAAGTCCCCACAGACATCATCATGCTTGATTTACATTATGCTTTTAATTTTCTTTTTGGGTGGGGGCAAGTGGTTTTGTTCTATTCTTTTGGTTGTCCTCATGCATGCTCTATGAGTATGTAGAACCATGACACTGAGCAAAAGAATAAGAGGATAAAATTCATTTATGGAATCTACTGTGTGTGTGTGTATGTATCTTAGGGAAATTTGATCAAGGTGTCAGAAACCATATATGGAATTATGTGTATGGCTCAAGATAAAGTTGCCAACGGGGCAGGTGAGGGAAAGGATGATTGATACCTCACTAGGGGACACTGCATGCATGCCCTAACTTCATTTCTGATCACACCCTTTATGCCTTAACCTTACTTTAATTTTCCATTTAGGGTTCATAATCAATACATTTCAGGTGAGACTCTAATCATTCTTAGCTCTTTCATTTATTTAATTTTCTTAAGCAACCTCAGTCACACAAGCATCACCTTATTGAATATCAATAAAAACCTATTTAGATACAAGTGAAAAGTACTTTTAATAAAAAAATATATTTCTAAACTTGTATCCAAACAAGTTCTAAAATGTGTACTTGTTAGAAGTATAGAACTACAACTTGTTTTTAATTAGGAAAAGAATAAGCTATTTTATGTGGTGGTCCAAAAGCATAACATAATTCAGACGTACGTAAGTGAGTTAAGTTAACCCTACTGTTGAGTGTGGTAGGTAAAGGGGAACATGTCCAATTAAAAACTTATGATTTTAGATAATCATGGATCAATGCAATTAGCTATAGTCTTGTGTGGCTTATGGGTCCATCAGATATTTCTGTTCACTGATACAAAGCTTTTGTCAATCTGTCCTGGAGTGCAAGCCATTCAAAAGAAGCTATCAGGTGCTGTTTTTCCAGCCTATACTTATTCGATCATGTGTTAATTAATAATAATAATAATATATGTGGGTATATATTTTGATTTGCACGTCAATTTTTTGGATCACTTTTTTCAATACTTACATTAGATTGATTACAAATTAAGGTGACCCCGTGCAAGTATAATAATGTTGAAGGTGATAATATATTTAACACAAAGTAATAAGCCATGTGTGCAAGTGTCAATTCGAGCAACACTAACTCTTCCGCAAAGCGTGCTTGTTCCCTTCCTGATTGTTTCAGATTTGGAACAAGGTCTTTTTTCTCTCTATATTTTGTAATTATCCTACTTGTTCTGTCTTCACAATTTGTTTCGCTTTTCCCAATAAGTTCAACATGCTCTACTCGGATTTTGGAGTACTAGAGTGCTCTCTTAAAATTACTCCCAAGAAATTATCTGTTTTAAGGTATAATTTAACATTAAAATATACATGATTATTAATATATATAATAGGGGTGTTTAAATATTAAAACTCAATATAACTATTAATGATTTTACTAAGTTGAGGAGTGTAAGTGCTCACCCTAGTATATTTGTAGGTTGGTCCTATATTTTTATATTAATAATAAAAGGAAACTTTTTATTGTCTATAATTTGTTTTTCAATTTTACCCTATAATTAACTACAATAAAAATGATAACACATGACTAGAAATAAATCGTTAAAAATACTATAAAAAATTGTCATTTAGTAACACATTCTATAATGATATATTATTTATCACTAAAAATTATTTTTATCTACACTATAAATACAATATATATATGTTGATATTTTGTTTAAAAATATAGATATAAATTATAGTGATACATACAAAATATGTTGTTGAATCTCATTCAAAATTAACACTTAATTTTTATATATTTATACATTAATTAAATTTATATTTATATATGTTATATTTATAATAACACTTCTTGTATGTCACTATATGTAAAATTTCTTATAGTAAATTTGTTCACTTAAAGATAGAAATTTTTATATCTTACTTATGTATATGTGAATTAATTAATTCAGGTGAATTACAACATGCTGTTTTTGTAAAGATAAAAGGTGTCTTATAATTTACATCAATCAATTAATATGTATAATGTATACATCAGTTTACTTTTAGAATGTTAAATTTGGTTTTGAAAAATTCTAGAAAATGAGTTTAAGAAGGTTTCAATTATTGTTTAGTATATATCATTGGCTTAGTCTATACACTGTACAAAGAACATAAGGATATGTTTATAGGACGCACGCCAATGTCAGTGTTCTGTAAAGACAAGGAAGAAATGGCACAAGGAACAAAACAAAGACTTTAAATTACTTACGTAAAAATAGTTTTTCACAAAACACAACTTTTTCATCACAAATTGCACACTGTACTACAAATCCTATGAATAAAATTGCATATGAATCATATTTATTTTTCTTTCTTGTAACAGGGAGAGAAATTTGAAGGTAAAAGAACTGTGCCAGAATCTAAGATAAGGAGTTCCCGAATTCAAATAAGTTTTAGACGATTTACTATACAATAGCAGACATCAGAGGATAGCATCTCTATAAAATGTATTCAATGTGACGAGTTTTTTAAGGACTCAACAACCTGCCTCGGTTTGAAAAAGGACCACGTGCATAGCCTGTTAAGGCTTTTCTCATTTCGTGACAAACAGTGTCACTGACACTGTTTTGCATGATTTGGAAAGGAATGTGATGAAACAGAGAAATATATATAAAAAATTACTTCTTCTACATAATAAGTATAATGGCCTTAAAAAGTTAATAAATAGATGAATATCTTTTTGTATAAAATTAATCTTATTATTGATTTTTTCTTATAAACAATGCAATTTAATAAGTTTTAAAAATAAGTATTATTAGAGTTATAAATAGAAAAAAAAATTAATATTTTAGTAAAGAACAAAAGAACACTTATCTTGAAACTTTTTTCTAACACTTAACACTTGTTATAGGATGAAAAGAAAATAATTTTTTTCATAGTTTTTTAGCACTCAAATAGTATGGAGGAACCAAAAGTTTTCTTAATTAATGACTGAAGTTTGATTCTCCACTTGAATATAAAATTATTATTGAAGATATCATTTTACTTCTATATAAGACTTGAGATGGGAAAGATTTATAGTCTCTTATTAAAAAATAAAATAGGAAAAAAGTAAATTATATATTTTATGCACCAAACTTTACTCTTATTATTAGAGAGGCGAAATGGCAAAGATGCATATGCATGTGTAGTAGTACTTCAATTGATAAGTAATTTTGTGAACTCTAATACACATGCAATTGTAAATTTTAATGCACAAATGAAGAATTTATTGTTTTTGGTGTAAAATTACTTTATGAGTTTTGATTTTTACTGAAATTCAAACATGCATATAATGAGTTTCATCATCACGCCAACTTCTTTTTTTAATTAATAAATTTTTAACAAACAAATTTATGATAAGAAAAAAATGCTTTCAAAAAAATGTACAAAAATATAGTAAAAATTTATTTACTTCATTAAATTTAGTATACATATTTTCTTTATATAATCTATTTAATTAATTTCACTTATTTTTTATCAATCAAAATTACAATAACAACAAAAAAATTCAAATATAAATTTAATGGTTTTTCTTTCATTCATTTAAATTACGAAGAGAAATGTATCTATTTTTAATTTTTTATTTATCATCACTTATAAAATTAATATAACTTTTCAGTTCTATTTATGTTTATCTTAATTTTTAATTTCCCTCTATTTTACTTCCAATAGAAACAAAATAAAAATTATAAATTTAGGTCAATAAATAATTTTTAAATGATCAATACTAAAAGAAAAATATATGTAACTTTTTAAAAAATCTGACTAACAAATAATTTAAATCTTAATATCATATATATAACTATATTTGTATGTTCTAAAATTTTATTTTTAAATTTTTGATGCAACTAATTAACTATTCTCACATGTATTAGTTAAGGTTTAGGGTAACCACAGTTCATGACTCACTATCCCTCCCATCACAATTAAGGGTGTGATTGAAAAATAATTGAGTTGAACTCAATTAGAAGTTGAAAGAGAAATTACATTCATAAATTTTTATTTTTTTAAACGAAAGGTATTTTTTTTTTCATTAAACACGAGTTTAAACTGAAAACAAACATACAATAAAAGCATAATTATTTTATTATTAAATTTCGTTAAATAAAAAAAACACACATTACAAAGTACCTAATCAAGAAATAATATTTTTTTTTTGTCTTTTACGTTAGGTTAAATACCTCTTTTGGTCCCTTACAATGTTTTTTTGTTTCAATTTAGTCCCACTTTAATT